AAAGTTCATATGATCGGCCGCAATAATAAAAAATATTGAACGAAATAAACAATGGCCTTTTCGATTTTCGACGATATTTTAAATTTTATATAAAAAATTACGTAAAAATAAAGTAAACTAGACTTACGCCCGTCGATAACCGATGTGTAGGGCTACACCCGCATAGCATTTGGTAAGCGACAAATATAACTCATGAGTTACAAGGCTCTGAAGATGTCACCGGATTGTCACGTGGGAGCGATTTTGATCACTTCTAGAAAAGATACAACAGAAAAGGGGGGAATCGCACCAAGCCAATTGAAAGATCATATGATCGGTAGCAATAATAAAAAATTGAACGAAATAAAAAATGGCCTTTTTCGATAAAGTGGGTTCGAAATTTCGGTTAATTTCATTTTCGATGATATTTCAAATTTTATATAAAGCATTCAGTGAAAATAAAATAACCTAAACTTATGCCCGTCGATAGCCCATGTATAGAGCTACACCCGCGTAGTATTTGGTAAGCGACAAATAAAATAACTCAGGAGTTACAAGGCTCTGAAGATGTCGCCGGATTGTCAAAGAGACGACGTTTGTCATTTTTTACCTCAATAAGCAAAAATAGAAAAGTATTTTCCTTTGAACTAAAAAAATAGTCAAAATAACATACAAGATCACAAACAAATTACTGTGAGTTTTGTATGCTTTCCGTATTCATACCACCGCACAGAACTGGGTAGAAAAATCACGGAGTAAAAAACAGATTTTCACCCTGCTCCGCTCAAAACTTTTTTGTGAAGCGAAATATTTTTTTTTGAAAAGTGGTTTTGTTCTCTCCAGAAATGGGGCAATTACATATAGTATAAAAAAAAAACCTGAAAGACCCACCCCGACACGCGTGTTCAATTTCAAATGAAACCACCCTATTTTATCGATTATTACGGTGTGATTTAATCCCATGATCAATTTGTCGGCATATTTTGGAAGTGCAACACTTGCTAAAATTTGGTTTTCAGGCAAAATAAGTCGTTTACACTCTTTGCTTTAGAAGCTTTGTTTTTAGTAGAATAGTTGTAGAAAATACGCTTTAGGTAATATTTGGTTCAGGTTTTGCATGACGTTCCTTTGGGACACTCAGACGTGCTTTTTGGTTTAAATTCTCTAAACAAGGCGGTTTTGTTTAATTGCGTTTTTGTAGACTATACTTCGTCTCACCTTAGTATGGACTATTGCTATCCGCGCGTGCTAAAGCACGAGCTAGTTGCTTTGGATGAAGCCTCGACGGCTGCACGAGCGGTCGTGCAGCGAGCGCTCCAGTCAGGGCTAGCCGCTCGTGCTTCCATAGCCTTCGCAATTAGTCCATGTTAAAGTGAGGCGGCGTGCGCGACCGAAAGCGTCGCTGTGGTCGGCCTTCCACGATTGGCTCAAAAGCTGACTATGACGTCGGAAAGGGTATACCATCGACCGAAATAAGAGGAATGAAAGAACTTTAATTTCGACGGTTTTGGCAGTGTTACTTTGAGAGCGCAATGATTTCAGGCTTCCACTATGCCCATTACAAACACCATCGAACTTGTTGTTCGCAAGGTAATGACGTCACAAGGGGGAACCATAGGAGGGCGCCACCAAAACATCTCGCCGCTAATAGCCGGAGAACCAACTACAACGCAGAAACGGTGGCGGAGGAGACTGGACTGCGCTTTCACCGCTCAGTCACACTGGAAGCGGATCCGCATTCACAAAGCGGTTGTGAACGCGGTTGTATAAAGATCCAGTGCAATTGCACGCGCACTTGATGTCATCGAGTGCGCGTGCAATTGTACTGGATCTTTATACAACCGCGTTCGCAACCGCTTTGCGAACGCGGATCCGCTTCCAGTTTGAATGAGCGGCGATGGGCGACTCATGCCTAGTAATTGGAATTTTGTGTACGGGCGCCTCTGCATTTCGTCAGATAGGGTCACTAAGAACAGTCAAAGTAAAACAAAAAAAAATCTGGTTTCAAAACATGTACGCTAATCAAGGTAGGCACACGAAAATGAATATAAATACTCTTCCCCCTGGCAGAAGCACACGCTAGCTCTTTAGTGACTAAGCCCACCATTTCCGTTGTGAATTAGTGGTCTAGTTAACATCATTTTGGTGTTCGATTTCCGTCACCTACATCCGTTCGATGTAGCGCTGACGCGTCTTGAGTTTTCATTAAGGCTACGCACACGCCCTGTTCACTTCTGAAATGCCACCGAGAAGAAAGGCGAATAAAGTAGTACCGTTGCACGACTTGTCTAATATGTATATCTTATTAGAGCACAGCTCTTAGGTGCCCGTTTCCGGCTTGAGCGGCGTCGCCGTCGCCGTCGGCATAACCCCGCAGTGCATTATGGGAAATGTCCCATAATGCACCGCGCGGGGAGGAGGAGGAGGGAGAACGAGGGGGAGGGTAGAAGGAGGAAAAGGAGGAAGAGGGTGGAGGATAGGAGGAGGGAGGGGGAGGGAGGAGGAGGAGGAGTGGAGGGGAGGAGCTTGAAGGATGAGCGGAGGAGGAGGTGAACGAGGAGGGCGAGGTGAAGAGGACGACGAGGAGGACGAAGAGGAGGGGAGGAGGAGTAGCAGGGAGGATGAGGACGGGAGGAGGAGGGGTATACCCTCCCCCAGTACCCTTCCCTTCTCCTCAAAAGCTGCGCTCCAATTCGGCGTTACAGGGTGTTGTAAACGTCTTTCATTTACTTTTGCTTTTGGTTTCTCTTGATGCTTTATGGACATCGTTATCCGTAGAATCTGGCCAACTCGTCGGAAGCCAATTCTTCGAAGGTCAACACGTCAAAGGAAAACTCGTCGAATAGGCCAACTCGTCACCGGTCCATTTGCAGAAAGGGAAACTGGCCAAAAGGGGCAACCTGCTGAAGGTCAATTTGTCGAATTGGGTCTTCAAGGAGAAGGTCTTTTTACTGTTGTCTTTCCTTGTTTTTTAAATCTTTCATCGATATATGTATCTTGTTTCCTTTGTACCGATTGTCTGCAAGTGAACGCAGCTCTTAGAACAAGTAGAAAGCTCCGAGGACGCATTTTCAAAACGCTTCACTAAGGCCGATTCACACTGGACGTACAACGCATTCAAGGACCATTCCCAAAGTGGCGTCTCCTTACGTTACGTTATGAGCAACTACGATGAGCTATGACTGTGGCTTACCGCGACAACCAAGGACACGAGGCCCGTCGTGACGTAACGTAAGCAGTTGAGCTCGGTGCAACTTTACGTAATGAATTTTTCCGGGCGCTTACGTAGGACCAACGTTACTAGAACCCTCAGTTGGGAAACTTACCGTTAAAACCTGGGCCGCTGGCGTCCACCGAGACCGAGCTAAGTACAACAGCGCCACTCTTTATCTTTTGACTTTACTGTGGTCACCTTGAGCTTTTAGAAAGCATGTTCTTGCGTAAAAACAGCGGAAAAAACTCTTTTTGTAGGAACTTTTATTGGAGTTCAGAACAAAATGAAGGGCGCGTGATGTTTTTTTTTTAAATCTTTAGTTTGCTAGGTTTTGCGGCACAATTAATATTATTTTTGTACAACCATGACTTAGTAGTGATTTCAGGTAGGGCGTGCCGACCTAGGCTCATCATAATTTCGGTAGTTATACGCGGCGCGTCCGCTTAGGAGACGGGGGTGGCACCCCCTGAAACGTCCCTTCCACCGTATCTGTTTCGGCGCCAAAATGACCGATTAAAGGGATACTACAACACTGATTCACTCTGTGAGGCTTCACAACATTGACTCTATGCCTAAATGCGTGCCCTGTAAATTGTAATACCAGTCTGCAACGTCAACACGTATTATACATATGTTTTGGGCTATTTTAGCGCAGTGTTCGATGCCATGAATTCTAAAAAAAACTCGCTGTGTCTGACATATATTTTTGTACATTTAATTGTAAAACGTTCCAAACTTTTTTATTCTGTCCAACGCTAAGCAATATTTGCTCCTATAATCGAGCGCGAAGAGAAAACGCATTTGCGTTTTCCCATAGGAAGAGATTACCGGAAGTCAAATTTAGACTACTTGCTGTCTGCTTCAAAATGCAACAGAAACTAACGCCAGCTGAGCCTCTAGCGTCTATTGTAATAACTCAATGAAATTACATACACTACCGGAAGCGTACTGGGGTACCAAATAATGTGGCGCCCTCGTGGTACCAATTCCCATTGAATGAGGTGCATACCGCCCAATCTGGTTGCGACGTAGACAGGGTGCTCGTGGCGCGAGCTACCGCCGCAATGCTGCTGCGATCTCAGCGAAAGTGTCCCTGTCGAGAATATATTGATTTCCTTCTTTGATTGAGAGAAACGTTGGGGGGGTTTCGCCACCTCGTTCGAGACATGCGCCTGAATAACGAGAGCGACTTTTTACATTATTTCAGAACGACGCGGTAAAGTTGTGTATCTCACTATATTCCGTTTCATACTTAAAATACAACGCTGTCAAAGCAACTGGCACGAGAGCGTGGCTCCAAGTATGGTTTTGTTTGCGCGAGAACGCGTGCAAATAATCAACGAGATCAAGCCCCATGCTCGCTGCAGCAGCTTTCACAACGTTGCACACTAAGTATGAAACAGTATAGTGTACCAAACCAGCCGCGCACAGACAAACTGCTGTTTTGTGCAGGTTTGTCCAGCTGCTTGCTCTGGTGGGCCTGAACATAAGAAAGAAACGACTCCCTGTTGGAAGCCGATCCCTCCAGATGGGCGGCTATGAATCACGCTCTGGTTAAAATTGACACTTTAATTTCAAGAATCTTGATTATATTCAGGGCATTCTGCACATGCAATCGCGGACATGAGCTCCAGCACTAAATTCTCAGAAAAAATCGTAAGGGTGCAGGCGAGCTGGTGAATATTATAACCATGTTGAATTAACCTGAGACTGGGGTAGAGAAGAAGCATCAAAACGTAGAAGGGACAGAAAGTAGGGACGTCGTCCTGTCTATTTTCTGTCCCTTCTACGTTTTGATGTTTCCTCTCTACCCTAGTCTCAGATTAATTCAACATGACTAAATTCTCGTTTTGCTATTCCCGCGGTTCTAAAAAGCTTCGATATCTGTTTACAAATGATTGTCCCCAGCATAGCATACTTCTTGGCCCGACGCTCCGAGGCAGTGACCTAGCGGACCCGGCCGCTTCTTTGAAGAAAGGTATGGTGGTTGCATCGGCGGTGGCACTGGAGCCACCTGCGGAGACGACGCCGGATCAGCTGGCTCCAACTGGGAAGGACTGGGCAACTGGCCGTTCCACTCCTGTGCTAGCAGCACCTCACATGTATGTGTTGGTCGGAGCTCACCGTCGAAGTAGTTCTAGGAAGAAAACAGGCCTATTTCTGCACTGCACTTTGAACACTTCAAACAGGTGGCTTCAAGATAACAAACTTACATTGTCTAGGTGGGCATAACTACTGTCCTCAGTGAAGTCTCCAGCAGCTGGGCCGCCGTGCGTCATCTCGCCCAATACCGCTGCAGCCACAGCTGGTTCTTGACTCCCGGCCGTTCCGCCCAGTTTTTTTTTTCTTTTTTTGCACTGGTCGAGGAATTCTGCAGGAGTTATTTCTGTAATAAAATAGTGGTTGTTTGCGCGAGTTGGTTTGTCATCTTATGCAATCTTGTGCGCAGCAAGGACGAGGACAAAAGGGCGAACAGGACACAACAAGGCGCCTTGTTGTGTCCTGTTCACCCTTTTAGGCCCGTTCACACTCTTGCAACCGAGTACGACCGAGAGAGACAAGGCCGGTTTTTAAGCCTCTTGCGACGTCTTAGGACCAGCTCCGCTGCAGCGCATCCGGTCCTAAGAGGTCGCAAGAGGATTAAAAACCGGTCTGGTCTCTCTCGGTCGTACTCGGTTGCAAGAGTGTGAACGGACCTTTCGTCCTTGTCCTTACCGCGCACAAGATTGCATAAGAGTCTTGCAATAGAATGCAAAATTGTCGCTATGCGTGATTGCAAATTTTATCGAATGAGTAGGGGTGTGCGAATATTGGCAATTTTCTATCAAATTTAATATGACAATATATATATTTGATTTGTGTCGTTAATCGTGATTTTATAACGTTTCTAATATTTTTCGAATAATTTCCCACTAGTTGACTGTGGCTTTCAATGCATAGGAACTGCGCACTTCTCGTCCACTTCACGCTTAAAGGCCGACGACCAGACGCGAGATTCTGCAAGGCAGAAGATCCTCCTCACCATGGGGGAGAAGGAAACAGGCAAAGGTGGACAGGGTAGAAAGGGTGAGAGGAGGAAGCGGGGGAAAAGTGGAAAGTACGAACTGGTCGTCGGTCTTCAAAGGGGTATTCACACGAGGTCTTTGAAGGAGTATTCGCGCGCATCCCACGACGAAAACGTCAGGCTTTGCGATGTGCAAAAGCCTCGCGTTTTCATGTCGTGATGCGCGCGTACCGGGGAGAAATCCCCGGGATTTCTCTCTCGTGTGAATGTTAAAGGGTTATCCAGACGAAGGAGAACTCCGCGGACGTATGTCGTGACGTCAACAACCCGGGAAACTCCGTCCCCGGCTCTGCCGCCCACCTGCGGAGCTTTCGTGCTGACAGTACGAAGCTTCCGCGCCTCCGCCACGGAGGAGAACGGCGCCGCGAGGCGTCAAAAAGGGATGACGTATGTCTCACGTGATGCGCGCTCCGCGGAGGAAAGGGGCGGATTTCTCCCTCGTGTAGATACCCCATAATAGCCGATTCACACGACGGACTGATCCGCGGACGGATTGATCACGTGACGACATATCCGCGGTTCGTCCGTCTCCCAAGCGCATCCACACGAGGGAGACGACGAGCAGACGCCAGTGAGGACGGATCGAACCTGTTCGCAGCCCACAGTGCCGCGAAACTCCAACATCGCACAGTAGCACCGTTGTCCAAGAGAGAAATCGACGGTTTCTACCGCGATAAAGAATCGTACGCCGCTGCTACGTACAGATCGAGAACAAAACACCGGGACAGGCTTCGCGCGAAGCGCCACTAACTTTACTAACCCAAAGCATGACAGTGACACAGGCATGATCCTGCCCGAGAAAGCTTCGGCGTAGACGCGACGAACTTCTGGGCTCGCGGAGGGGCGTTTGGAGATGCCTTCACGCACTCCGCGCTCGTGCACAACACTCAAGCTCACCACATCCACAAGAGAGGGCTTGCTCGGTGAAATCCTGATTGGACGTGCAAGAATTATCGCGGCGTGCTAAACGAGTTTTGACGGGAGCTTCTTGACACGGACCCGGAGGAGCACCGGAACCTGCGTCGCGTCAGCCGGACAAAGTTTCTGGAGTTTCTCTCACGCGTGGAACCAAGAATCGTACGACAAAATGAACCAACAAACGCACAAAACGCAACGACGCGCCATTTTTGTTTTGAACGACCAGAAGCAAAATACCAAGAAAACCATGTACCGTTGCCAGACTAAATTCTTTCCAAGTCAGTCTGCCGCCAAACGTCCGCGAGTGAAAAAGGCGCTCGACTTTATCAGTCCGCGCCTCCGCGGAGGAGGCGCGGATCGCAGGAATCGGTGACGTGCCGGTCACGTGGTACACGGTCCGCGGACGAAAATCGCGATTTGGTCCGTCGTGTGAATCGGCTATAAGGGGTAATCACACGAGGGAGAAATCCCGGAGATTTCTCCCCAGCGCGCGCGCATCACGGGACGAAAACGCGAGGCTTTTGCACATTGCAAAGCCTGACGTTTTCGTCGCGGGATGCGCGTGCCATGGGGAAATCCCCGGAATTTCAACCTCGTGTGAATACCCCTTTATAAGTACGGCCAACCATTGTTGTGGAAACGCGCACGACACGTGCCACGAGCGCCGCCATTTGCTTCCAAGGGCCGCTCGAGACACGGGCCTCGTGCACTGGCGCATTTGACGCTACTTGAAAGCTATAGGAGGTATTCACTGGACGCCATATTTGAGGGCGATGTTTAGAGCGCATGCCCAGAACGAGCTCACATTTATAGCCTGCTAAGACCGGCACCTTGATGGTGCTAAATGCACGCTCCAAAAAGACTGCGGAAGCTCGCCGTCAGCACGCGCTCAGCAGCAGCGCACACGGATATGGCCGCCAGTGAATACTCCCCATAGGGAGTATTCACTGGCGGCCATATATGTGTGCGTGGTTGCTGAGCGCGTGCTGACGACGAGCTTCCACAGTTATTTCGCAACGTGCATTCCACACCATCAAGATTGCCGGTCTTAGCAGGCTATTAGTGTAAGCTCGTTCTGAGCATGCGCTCTAAGGCCCGCTTCAGACGGAGCAATTTCACCCAGCAACTTGACGTCGCAGCACCAGCAACAATGGCCGCCCGCGTTCAAACGCAGCAACCGAATTGCTCCGACTTGCCATCATCATAATTAAATTTCATTCTTTTTTTACTATTTAGACGCCCAGCTACGAGTTAAAAACGCGTTCTTATATCTTTGAACGGCGTTGAGAATACTAACTAATTTTTCTGAAACTGTTTATTTCCGAAAACGATCCATTCCAAACCAGAACTACGTCTTTAGCTGTCATCATCACCACCACAGGGGTGTCACGTGAAAATATCGCGTCTCCGATTGGCTGCAGCCGCTTCAACCGTCTTCGAATTACTCCGAGTTGCTCGCTTGTTCGAGCCGGACACGATCTCAGCAATTCGCGTTGATCTAGGGAAAGCTAGGGAACAACCAGCCAGCAACCTCAAAATTGCTGGAAAAGTGGCCCCGTCTGAAGCGGGCCTAAACAGCACCCACAAGTATGGCGTCCAGTGAATAGACCCTATACTAAAGACAAACACAGGCACATCGAGGGACTTTATAGCGAGTTCGTTTCACACGCACTGGCACCGTTCGAGTTCTCTCCCAGAATGCATCGCACTCACTGAGTGTTGCACGGAAAACTGGACTCAAACGAACTCGCCAAATGCACCGAGTGCAGAAGACTGATGCTGTCGCCATCTATGTTGTAGAAAAGGCACCGACTTCAAACCGAAACTAGTGCCTTTCTGTTCCGAGTGATGCGTGGGAATGCGAGAATGCAGTCGCTACCAACGTTTATCTACAAACGTTGGCAACTGCAACCTGTAGTTCATAGTTGCGATGTCTTCAAGCAGCTCGGCTGCCGTAGGGATAGTTACAGACGGCGTAAATTTCCGCAACCAGCTGTACAAATTTCTGGTTGCGATCTTTCAATCCTTATAACCGTTTACACTGAAGAAAACTGATGATGCTGTCCGAGCAGAAGCTTGATCCGTTTGAGCATGGTATTATGCGTGAACCACTGAAAGGGTAGGGCTTAAAACTAGCCTGTTGGAATATCCAGCAAAACTTTTCGTGGGACTTTCGATTTCGATCGTCATTATAGGTGGATTAGATATTAGCCTTGGTGAGGGCGTCGAGAACGAGAGCTTTCTCGAACAAAATACGACGGGGCAAGTTAGCTGCGTAGGTAAATGTTAAACATGATGATGTTGCCCAATCCTCGGGTAAAGTGACCATCTTTAGCTTTCTCTGATGCTTATTGGGCAGTCAGAGGTTTCTGCTGGGGGAGTTTTATCGACAAATGTTAAATTTTTCACCCGCACACGGATGGTGATCGACATCTCGGGGGCCGCTGTTGCGTTTGTTCTGAGCATTTCTTTACACACTGGTATATTTCAGCGTTTGTACGGCAACAGAGCGATTTAAAACCTGCAAATAAATCACGGGTTGTCAATTGCTTCCTTCCTGAAATAGCAGACGCTCACAATTCAAGCTCGCGTTTGATTTCGTTGCCCGCGGGACGCGATTTCTATCAGAAAATCTACTTTTTTCCCTTTCGGTTCCGCGACACATCGTAGCAGACGAACCCTCGTCGTCTGCTCCCGCTCCTCATCGGCCCCGCCGGAGCGAGGCATGACGGGATTGCATTTTGGCGCACTCCCGATTTTCTCGGTGCAGCGAGTGCATGCACGCGTGGGGTGTCAGCGCTGAAACGAACTCGGAGAGTGCAACCACTCGTGGAGCGCCAGCCGAAACGAACCCGTTCCACGGTGCGAGTGGGCACGCGTGGGCACGAGTGCCGTGAAAGTGAAGCAATAAAAGCGGCTCGGCGAGCCCCCCACCGGCTCCAGATCTACAAGCGGCACAGAGATTGCGCGCTTCTCGCGAGGGAAACAAGAATCCGCTCGGCGAGCGAGCGCCGCTATTTGCCAGGATTAGTGGGGCCACCGATCCCCCAGAACCCGAAACCGTTTTCGGCTTTCAACGTTTTCAACCAATCTAGAACAGTGATGCCAACCGTAGGGATTTGTCCCTACGCGTAGGGACTTTTGGTGTTCTAGAGCGCTTTGTGGGGAAGTAGGGACGTCTTATCGAGGTTTCACAGAGGTTTCATGTCGGCGTAGGGACTTTTCGTTAGTTCAAGTGTGTGCGTTTTGCCGCCGTGTTTACTGCTGTTAGTTTTTTTTTCTCTTTACAAGTTTTGCGTTACATACGGCAACAATCATCTTCGGATTGTTCTCCAGCTAGCCAATCCCCAACGCATTTTGTGTCATTCTTTGCGCTAGGGCAGCCAGGGGGTCACCCTTTTCGGAAGTTGATTGAGGAACGGAAACTCTAAGGCAGGGCTTGTTATTTTGACGTCATTTCCGCCGTCGAGTTGGTCAAGTCATGACGATACAAAGGTGGCTGCGGTGTAGAAGCCGTGGAACTTCGAAAGGGTGGAAGTGGGGGGCAGCATTGGACAGATGGACGTAATCAGAAAACTGCTGCAATTAACCAGACTTCTTTTTTTGGAGGGCGGGGGGGGGGGGGGGGGGGGGGGGGGGGTATGTATTCTTGCTTTCTGTGCATTATTTGGGCCATAATTTATGCCATGCTAAATATGCACACACTAACTTTTTTTCAAGCGTTTTATTACTTTTTTGATGGAACCCCTAGGCTGGTGGTCCTCCAGACACAATGCTGTGACACTTGCGTCGGCTGTTGCAGGTAGTTCCGACGCAATGAATGCAACCTGCGTGGATGCCTCGCATGCACCAGTGAACAGGGCGCAGGCAATCATCAGGACCCCTTCGCTCTGGGCTTGCGGTGTCTTTTGAGTCTGAGTTGAGACCTGCATAAAATTGATGGCATGTTACAATTTTCCGAAAAGAGAAAAAGGTGTTCTCTATGTTATCTTAACCTAGAACACCAGCTACACGGCGCTTCAAGAAGCCCTAACCAGTCACACCAAGACACTGAGGCCCTCACAAGGCTCACCTACAGTGACAGCATTCCTGGGAAACTATGTGAAACTGAATGAATGTTTATTGTGGCAAACGAGAAGGGAACTACCATCGCAGGCTTTTATGATTGGGAGAAGACAGCAGCGGGCATTGGGCCTGACAAGATTCTTTACCGCCTGGGGGACTTCAGCTACGAAGTGGCGCCTGACAAAACCCAGCTTTTTTCTTGTGGCCCTTTGCGGCCCGAGGTAATCCACATCATGTTTCCCAATTTGTTTCACGCTCGATAGGACTGTAAATGTTTCCTGTTCCAGATTACTTTTAAGTGCACCATTCTTTTGTTTTACTTGGTTTTGTTTTGTGTTGCATCGGGCAATGCGCTTTTTAAAGGAGGCAGTAGAGGCTGCTCGACACATTAGCACTTCACTGCAGTGCGCTGCGTTGTTCCCTGCTACAATAACTTGTGCTAGGGAAATTGACGTGCATCCAAACACAGTCGTGTGCAGTCAACAACCAATAGAAAACCATAAAGGAGCGACTTGCCCAGACAACTCTGTGACGGAAAAGCTATGTGCCCTGCATCGCTGCTCCCATCCGCTCATCTCGCAACATGGCCGCAGCTGAGCACAAGTCGATGTCGACCACGCCGAACTTGTGTGATGTGCTGAGAGACCTATTCTTTGAGTGCGTTTGGGGTTACATTGCTCATTCAGACAATAACGCAAACTGGGCCCATGTAGCACGAGGGCCTGCTGCGATGTACTTGTACCTACATTCCCGACGGAGGCGAACCTCCCACGAGTGGGTTCGCTTTCTGCTCCCCATTGGCTCGACGCAACGAGCCACAGGCTGGCGTCGATGCGCTTATGCTCAATTGCCGGACGCTCGGTTATCGTTGAGAGGCAATGCACTGCTAAACGCAGCGCAACACAGTGCAGTCAAAGGCAAACGTGTGAACCGGGCTTAAAGGTGTACTAAAGAGGATACTGAGATTGTTTGTTCTGGGTGATAACTCGCTCTAAGCATCCTAAAATTCCATAAAATTTGCCGATGCAACAAACGATAAAGCAGTTACTTACTGCTTTATCATTTGTCATTCGTGAAAATATGTCTGTTCTGCCTTTTAGCTCTTAAACCAGAGAAGCACCGATCCTGCGGTTTTTTCGATAATCTCCAAACCTTGAGTGGGCACCTGCTTGGTATTTTACGGTAGTACAGGAGAATCTACCTCAACTGCTTGCAGCTTTCTAGGTTCATTATTCTCCTCGGTGCCTTCAGGTTCCTCCAGCGGGGGTGTGGCTGCTGGTGCTAGAGAAGGTGGTGCGTCCATGGTGGCCGCAGGTGGTGTAGCTTGTGGCACGTTCGGCGAGGATGTTGAGGAGTGGGCGAGATTTACAACAGTTGTTGCGGCTGTTCTCCGCTTCTTCATTCTAAGAAGAAAAATTCACACCGTCACTTCCCCAATTAATTACTGTGCAGGCTGGCATTGAATAGTTTTCAAACAGTTGCAAGCAGCAATGTCTGCCTCAAACTGACGTAGCACGCACAGACTGAGGCGCGGCAGTAGAAGTGCTTTAGATTACTGCAATCTCATCATCTCGTTCACAGCCAACAGGTATCATGAATATGCTCCCCCCCTCTCCCTCTCGGGCTTCGGCAAAATACCAAAACAAAGATGCAACAAATCCCTTAAGAGGAGAATAAACAGACTCGATTTTTGTTCCGCATGCAAATTTGTGTTTTTGCTGTACACTTTGCACGTTTGATTACTCCAAGAATGGCTACATGCACTGCTATTTAGAAGCATCCACCACTCATGGTGCGCTCTTAGCTACCTCGTTTGCGCGAGCTCACTGAGCTGTTCTTTTTTGCCCAAACTCTCGTGCAAGCCAAGCTGTGTGCGGAAACTTTGTGGGACCGCGACCTCTCAAAGCTTCCGAGTGCCGTCCGGCGATCCCCGCCCCATTCCCGTGTTAATTTTTGGAGCTCTCTGAGGAGCCGTGGCCACCAGACATTAGCCTCATTTACATAAAAGCGACTTCAGCGCATCGACTCCACTCGTTCTTCGAACGAAGCCGACGCGGCAACGTTTACATGAATGTGCACCAAGCCCTACACGAAGGTGGCACCACGCCGTGTCAAAGCTCGAAGTTATGCTCTTCCGGAACCAGCCGCACCACGTTTTCCGGTGCGTCGCATGTGGAGTCCTTTCGACGCATTCAGTGAACGTAAATATTGTGCCCGCTGTCTTTGGTGCTGTAAAAAGAAGTTACGAGACGGAACAAACATCAAAACCCAAGGCGTTTAGGGCTCCAGGCCGGGCTGCCGGGTCACCCTGGACCAGAGGCGACGTGTGTGCGCACGCTTTGAGGAAGCCTCCGCGCTTCGCCGTGCCAGACCTCGCCGCGATCGCGACCGGACCAACCGGACCCCCGAGTCCGAAAGGCTCCTGCGCAGCCAGGAACGGCACCGAGGTAGGAGCCGCTCGTTCTGTGCTACCATGCAGTGCTCTACAGTGCTCGAAGCTCTCGGTGTCGTTCGTGCTTGCGCCTAAGCCTTTGGGACCCTTTGGGACGCGCAAGTCGAGCTTCGCAAGGCTTGGACGGGGGCCGCCTTTACCGAGCAGCTCCGCTATATTCCGCTTACTTATGATGGCAATAAAAGCTCGTGTTTGTTCTCGGGAAAAAATTGCCGGCGACCATACGGGACCGCTCTCCGCGCCGCCAACGAGGTTGGCCGCCGCCATGCTCTCAGCTGTTCACTCGCTCCCGCAGCGAACGCCTTCCCATAATCCTCCCCGTTCCAAAATGCGATGCGACCTCCGTTTACATGGGCTGAATGAATGCGCACTCACCATCTCGATCCACCTCTGTCTGGCGGCTTGAATGCGATGCGCTTTCTTAGCACATTATGCCGTTTACATGACCGCATTGAATGCGACAACTGGATTCGATGCGACTAAGTCGCATTCATGTAAACGCGGCTGTTGTCCCGTGACCTCTCTTAAGAGGGGCGGGTTCGACCCTCAGTTTGTGCACCTCTGTTCTAGCGGTAGCGCCTTTGCCAGCAGCCGAATCGGTGACACGAACCATCGCGCAAACCGAAAGACAAATTCTTGGAAAAGGGGGGGGGGCACCCAAACAGCTAGTTAAAAAAGAAAGAGCCTATTTCGCGGAGTTCTCACCTTTCATAGCGTACAGCCTTATCTTCCGGAAGCACGGACCGCTTACGGTACACGTCCGGAAATATCGTCGGCACGTACGACGGTGAGGACACATCCTTGGACGGCGCACCTCCAACGAAATGGACGCTGCATATCTTCGTGTGCCGAGTGGGCTTCCACTTTGTTCCGTCGGCACTGAAATATGCAGACGTCAGTGACAAAAGAAAAACAAAACCGCAGAACGCGAGACGGCAGAGAGAGCGACGGCAGACGCGATCGCGCGGGAACCCTAGTGACACAAGGAAAACAAAACCGCACAACGCAAGACGGAAGCGACAACAGACACGATCGCGCGGGAACCCTGCTTACTTCTTTCGTCGCACGGCCGTGATCCACTGCTGCCGCTGCCCGACGAAGCACGGACGAGTTGAAAAACGGTGAAACGTCGTCCCCGTGGGGCACGACGTGTACCTGTTGGTACAACCGACCACGCAGCAATTCATGATACGAATTATCAGTGCGTTAACGACGCAGGAGCGAAACGCGGCGGCCGGATTGGAATGGCGGCCATGGCGGCGGCGAAACGTAGTGATTTCCGTCTGTTCGGATTCTCGTCAACTGTCTTGTCTGACGGCCGCGCGGCGGCGCGCCGGTCGCGTACCACTTAAATGGTCAGATAAAATGGCTAGGTGCCGCAAGCTACCGCCCAATCCAAAAGGCTCAGCCGGATTCATTTATTTACTTATCAATCTACTAATCTGCGGCGCAATTTTGGCGTATTTTTTCTTTTTGTTTTGCATAAAGACAAATACAGGGACTTTTTTTGTCTGATTTGGGGACATGTAGGAATTATTGAGGGCCTGTGTAGGGTTTTTCGCCAAAAATAGTTGGCATCACTGAATTCTGGAAGCACAATCGACATCTGTATTTCAAGATGGCCGCGCCGTATTAGAGAGGTTGTGGAAAATGTGGAGTTCGTGTTCCTGATAGCGGCGTCTTGAATATAAGTGTTTTTATCGTAAATCCGAACTCAGGTGCTCTACGCCTTTGACGATGTCGTTAATTAAGGAGTTAAACGACTTGGTGAACACAGCTCCCGCTCTCGCAGATCCCGAGGATGACGTTCACGAAGGTAAGACATCTCGCCACAATGCGCTTGACGCTTGTAAGCATGCTGTTTTCTGTGTTCTCTTTGTAGATACTAAAGCCAAGGTTGTTGAGAGCTACGGGAATGACTACGAAGAAGTTCCGGTGCAAAAGAAACTTCTGCGGCGACAGCCGTTGCCTCTTACCGACGAAAAATACGCAGGAAAGAGAGTATCGAGGAAGGACCTAAACAAGGATAGTTCCGGCTCTGACGGTAAGCCCTTTCTTCGCTTTCGTGCTAAACAGCGCTGATCAAAGTCACTGAGAAGACAGCAGGGAAGAGTTGCAGTTATCCCGCCTCTAGCGCGAGCTTCCTAGCTTCGGCGACGCTTAGGTGTCTCATGAGCCTTGAGCCTGCACGCGCAGTCGAGGCATGCTGAGAGGCGACGCGCGTGTGGCTCGTCGTCGCCCTGCCGTTCTGTTCCAGAAAAAGACTTCTGACTGGTGCCATTTTCAGTGTTCCTGCGTTTGGCGCGTGCTGGGATGTAATCTAGTATGTGTGCACTGGGATTTTTGTGAACACTGGAATGGTGAGTAGTTAAATTGCATAGACCAACTAATGTTTACAAACAAACCGGAGCGCCCCTAGCAGACGCCACCGGCGCCGCGCATGCGCGATGGAGGGTGGACAAGAAGCTCGCCGTCGTCCGTAAACAAACCATTGGAATGTGATGTTGTTGGCGTCAGTGTGAGTCCCCGTGCTCTTTTTCGAGTTGGAATGGTCGATTCTACGTCTTCCTGGCAATATCTGACTACTTTAGCAGCCTCAGCGAAATTCACGAGGCTCGTTGCACTGCTAAACTTCGCGTGAATAATGTGACATGTGGTGATTCATTCTGCGTGGACACTGCATAATGGACGCTAAAGCCTGATTCAAAGAATTCTGCTCGCTATTTTCAGTCATGATGTCGCTAGGGCTGCAAAAGCGCGAACCATTGCCGAGATGGGTGACTTCGATATTAAGAATCGCAGAATCAGACCAAGTGAATCAGGCATAACAAGTCGGTGATAGCCACTGGTAACAATTATGAACATCTCCTTGTATCTGCTGTTTAAACCGAGCCTACTTACCCTAACCAACCTTCAAATTTAAAAGTCTTTTGAGGTCTGTACTTATTTCATCCGCATGTGGTCTTTTGGACCACTGTCGTTCGAACGAGCAGATGACAACGAGCAGAAACGTATGAAAAAGCAGACAACAGATCAAACGATCAGGCGGCCGTTTGAACTTGAAGGCACACTGAATGCAGTCCGCAGGTGGTCCGTATAACTTGGTGGTTTTCCCACATTCAAGTTGGAACAAAACAAATAAATCTGACGACCACAAGTATCCGTGAATTCAACCCAGAGTGCTTCCCGCATAAGCAATTGTGGTCCGGCGGCGTCTGGTTTTTCTTCTTCACGGCCCCTGTCCACGCTCTTGGACGAACTGAGCAGGTGGAAGAAACATGGAAACTAACTTTTAAACCTTTCCCGACTTTTTTGGTACAGCCCCAGCCGCGGCGTTTTGTTGAGAAGGCAGTTTTTTGTCTGGTTTCTTCCAAGACAGCACAGAAAAGCACGTCCCGCATGGTGACTTCCACCGACAGCTCCAGGCTGGAAGTGCACGCGACGCACCACCATTGCGCCGTGACGTAACAGAGCTGAGTCTGTGTATACATTGCATATTTGGGTAGTAGTTCAATTACTGTAATTTAAATATTTTCTTTGTAATTCGTAATTGTGAATAATTACTTTTGGCTAAAAGGAATTGTAATTGTAATTTATAAAACTTTTTAGCGTCAGGTATTGCAAAATTTCAGGCACAATTACAATTACTTTTGCAAAACTTTGCTAACCTCTCTGAAAGCCTCAGTGCTCGCACAAGTGGCCTAGCTCTTGGTGGAACACTCGCACACAGACACGCACTCAGACAAAAGCACGACATAAATAGTGTCGCATGGTTTGTTGTCTTGTTGCTTACACTGTGGGCTGAGAGACAATCCTCCTTGGAGCCTACATCAACGGCGTCGTGTAGCGTTGTCCGCAGTGCAAAAATCCCCCCCCCCCCCCAAAAAAAAAGAAAAAACGCCTGCCCTCGGTCATTTGGATATAAACATCCTAGAAATCGGTGTGAAATTCTGTGGCACTCACCTCAATTTCCTCGAACAACCCAAATAATGAACGATTCGAGAATTCTAGTTCGGAAAAAGTATGGTGTCGACTGTCGCGACGGTTTACGGAAAGTCACCAACAGCAAATGAAGAGTAGCGGAAGCTTTAATTAAGAAATAAAGTAATCGTCCCCACTCTCACTGTGTTTGTCTGCGCATTTTTTTGCCCAAAATGCGAAACATGAAAACCGCGTCGCCAGACTCTGTCTATGTACAATTTTGAAGCGTTTTGTTGACAACTTCAGTCTCACTAGGAAACAAGTGTCCTTGTCCCCGTGTTCTGCGTAGCATCCTTCAGGTGGGACGGCGGACTCCTACAAACAGGCTGTCTGTCGGGTGTCATTTGTTGCTCGTTGTTGTGTGTCACGGTCCGTCGCTCTAGTGGGACACGGGCATAAGCAACAGAACAACAAACAACGCTATGCTATTTTGTTGTGTGTTTGTGTGAGCGTGTCACCAAGCGCGAGGCCCGTTATGCGACGCTGAGGCTTTCAGAGAGGTTCCGTCGTTGCCGCAAAGTCTTGCAAAAGTAATTGTAATTTTGCCTGAAATTTTCTAAGCAGAGACGCTAGAAAGTAATGATATTACAATTCCTTCTGACTGAAGGTGATTAAATACAAATAAAGTAATTCAATTACAGTAATTCAATTACTACCCAAGTATTGTCTGCCCAAACGGAACAGTTTGAACAAATGCAATATGTCTTGAGGAGTGTCGCGTGATTGGAACACTTTAGTCGCACGCAAAACTAGTTTTCTTACCTTATTGCCTGGGTTCTAGAATCTAAAATAGCCTTTTGGTGTCCGCGTCTGCAACTGTATTTACGTGAATTTCATTCACAAGTTTGCTGCGGTAGGCCGACGTTGTCCCAATGACGATATCTCTACTTGTCGTCGAAAACACACCGCTCGCTTTTTCCCGGGACTGATCGAGCACAAGTGGCGCAATCCCTCGCACCCTCCTTCAACTACGTCCAACAGGTGTAACATAGTTTCGCTTTGGCCAGCTCGAACACTCACGGCGATGCCGTGCAGTTGACAAAGCCATAATACTCTAACACACGCTCTCCCGTGCACAAAAAAAACGAGAGAATTACGTGCCTCGGTTGATTTGTGGGCGTCCAACTTCATTGAATGCCTCGCGTGTATACAAGTTTCAACTAACCCGTCAGGTAGGGCCACTTAACTTTTGCCGCGGAGGCCAAATTAAACGAGATGCGGTGCTTTCTCTCGGCGCCTTATGGTCCCAATACACACACCAATCTATCTTATGCCCAGTTCTCGACGTACCTTTTCTGATTTTCCGTTGAGAGAAACTTAAAAGATGCACTTCTTGCTCATTGAAACATACGCAAGAAGCTGGTCAGACGGAAGTTATCTCGGCAACAGGAAGTTCTGCCATTGGTTGTTCATGTTTACCTTGGGAATGCCATGTATTGCAACGTAATTCGAAGCACTTTTTTAGCTCAGAATATGTTATGTGACTGACACCTAATGGTTTGCAACTCTCACTCTAGTGCCAAAACAAAAAAACGCAAGTGATATTGTTACTAGGTTAGCTCAGTTACGGAAGTGTCCATAGAAAGTGGTTCCACGAGCGGCCCCCCCTCTCCTTCACAGCCTGCCTTCCAACGTTCGACGCACCACCGTTTCTAGGACAGCTGCTATGGTAACTGCGGTGTATTTTATGGAATACATGTGTTTTGAAGTATAGCATCTGGATAGTGCTTTACCATACCCTATCCCATAGTGTTTGGTCGAACATCATCTGGATGCTATGCTTCAAGACAGCATATGGAACATGCAGTTTTGAAACGAAAATCTAGATGGCACTCCAAAGAACGGTAGTTGGACAGAAGGGGGTGACTTGGGGTACCTTCCTCCCCTGGAGTTCCATAACTAAGCTAGTCTAGTAAGGTTGGTAAGTGCAGGATGATTGTCTTCCTCTGGTGGATCCGAGTTTCTCCTGCAGGTCACATCACGTGATCAAGGATAGAGCGACGCTAGCAACGGACTCTACTCATAGTTTGTACTAAACATGCAAGCACAAAACTTTTGTGTGCACTCATATTTATTTTGTTGCTTTTGTGCGTTTTTTAAGTAACATTTGCGAGAAAGTTACAGTGCAGTGCAACTCTTTCGTCGTCTTCGTTCGGGTATCTTTTTTTTTTTTTCCGGAGTTGCCGCAGTGCCAAAAATGACGTCACTGCGATCGCATCTAGCTTTATGCTGCATCACATTCCGTGTTACGACTGCCTCTGCTACAATAGTGGGAGAAAGGAGTGATTTTTGGTGTCTTGTGTCAACCTCTTTGTGCCAGGCCAGGTCCCACAGCCAGGCCACAGGAGCTATAAGTACTTTGTTTCACCGTAACTCAGCAAAGGGGAAGCAACTATGGCCCCCTCAAGCCAATCAGAGCGTAGGTGGCGGACTTCTCGTACTTGCGAGTCTTCGATGGTAGTCACCTGCCTTCACAGGCAGTAATGAACACTTAATTCACATAGGTGCATCATTGCAGCTGCACATTGTAGCTCATAGATTGGACCCGAGCGTTGCGTGAGCACTCGATTTGGGCTCATGATAATTGATAGCTCGACAAGCATTCGGATAGTGGTCCGTGTCCAATCGCTGCATCGACAACAATAACCGAACCATAACAACGTCCGGAACTCAGCGCTTGTTTCGTGCTTTGCCAACCCCAGTGCATGGCTATGATCAACATTGGTGGCCTATAATCAGCCCCATATCACGTGGCCGCTTGTTCCGGCTGCGAGTTGATGGGGTGAACGCTGCTAATTTTTCTTTTAGTTTTTCTGCAACTTCTATTGCGTGGGGTGAAAGACGAACGCATGTTTCATAGGCCATTAACACCAGGGATTTGTTCTAAGTGGTATCTGCGCAAAGTAAAAAAATGGTTGCACCGCCCCTTTAAGAAAACTAGATGTGCTAGCATTTGCTTTTAGGGTGTAGTTGCTACTATGTGTGGGGTTTCACCTTGTGCAGACTGGATTGTACAAGTGTCCCATTTGTTTCGTTTTTTTTTAAACACTTTTACAGATGACTATTTGTCCAATGGAGCTGATGAGGAAGACGTCGTGGAGATAACAGATAACGATGAAAGTGATGCCGTTGAAGTGATCAGCGATGACGAAGACAAATCCAGTGGGGTCAACACTAAGTCTGGAGACGAACACGGCGAAAGTGAGGAATCAGCCGACGACAGCGATTCCGGGAAAGCGGATGAAGAAGGCGACGAAGACGCAGCCAGCGACGACGACGAAGACGAGAGCCAAATGGACGCCATTGACGACGTTCAGCTTGGGACTGCTGACAACCAAAGGTGAATCCTTTGTTTTTTGTTCACCTTTTACTTTTTTTGGTTTATGCAAGCAAGGCATGGAAATGCAAGAAACTTGCTCTTATGTCTTCTGCAGACCAGACTGCGGTTATTCCATGCTAAGGCAAAACGAAGCATGGGTGGTATTGCAGAGCTCTTGCGAAGCCATCGACATAACTAGTTCATTTTTTGTGTAATATGTTTGTGAGGCAGGGATTTTTAACTTTGGAATTGCCTGTCCTTTAGTTTCCCATTAACAGTATCAAAGCTAGGAATGACACTGCACTATTTGATTTACACCGCATTTTTTTTTCTGTTAACACTTCATTTTCACGTTGCAGTTTGGATGACGACATGGTTCAGAAGTTTTCCACCGTCGATGTCAGCGGGGAGGTGCAGAAAGGAAAGGCTGTTCGTTCTCAGCTCCGTAAGTGTCTTCTTTTCCGTACCGCTTCTTTTGAGCTTATGTCCGGCCATTTTAGATGTGTCTGGACGCTTAAGGTGGCCTTGCTTTTCAACCGTCTGGTAATTCCTATTTACTGTATGGCAATGGGCTTTTTCTTAAAACTCCACAAGGCTCCTCTTCAGTCGCACATTGCACCGCGCGACGTAGGAAATTGTGGGGCCATTCCGACCTACGCACGGGCCGACTTGTACACACCGTACATCCTGGAAGCAATGCAGTTTCTTCTCTCTAGTCACTGCGAGTTCCGAAACACAAAGAAAACAGAGCAAACAGATCAGAATGCCGATATGTGCGGTGGCTAGCGATACGAGTTAGAATGCGCAAACGGCAACCAGGAAGAACAACCGACTCGGTCGCATGGCTACCGCACTTGCGTCGGGGGTGGGGAGGTAGTCGCCTGCGGTGGGTGAGTAGACGCATTTACACAACTCCACTGGAGTCCTGACCTTCCGCTCGCCGCCTGCTAGACTGCGTAGTCTCTACAGGCTGGTCGCCGTTTGCGCATTCTAGCTCGTATCGCTAGCCACTGTACCCTGTCAGTTGTCTTCCTGCTTTCTTCGTGTTCTGAAGATGCAAGTTGCTAAACCAACGTTCCTTCTATTCGCGGGTAGTGCATCGAAAAGACGATGAAATGCACTGCATATTTCCGGATGTCTATTCAGCTATAGGAAAGACTGAAGGGCTTGTACTGAACCATTTGGTTTGCGGTCACCAGTTGCGCCAGCTTGAGCAAGTTTAAACACGTACACGACACGAAGATTCAAACACATTACTACACTGTAGTAGTTCATGCGTGTTCCAATGTTCCCTTGGTGTGCATGTTCAAATTTATTCAGGCTGTGCATGGTTATATTTATTCAGGCTGGCTCAATCGATGCAAGGAATGTTGTAACCCTAAACGAAGGATACCACTAGTTGTGGTTCGAGGGTATACTCAGCCAGGATTTGTTTCTCTCTTCTGTGCCTTTTCGCATGTCCTGTTTACTTTCACGTATCATTTCAGTTAATCGCTTTTTAGCAAGGCAGGAGGTTTCGTAAACAGTGAATTGTTGCCAGAAAAGAGCATGCGGAGAGCTCGCCTTTTAAAACGTACCTGATTAGCAGAGCAAACGGTGATGCCCAGAAAGGTTTTGACTGGAGAACCTTTGCTGGCATCTGGATGTGAAACATCATGTTCAGTGTTGGTGAAAGTAACATTTTTTGCACAAGAATGTGACCTCTCTCATATCATTTGTAGATCACTCTGATTGGGTATCTGTGCGATCTGTTGGAAAACAGACACCAAGGCCTTGTTAGCATGTGGTGTGTCTGTTGTTTGAGTAAGTGCATATGGTTCTTGCAGCGTAGAGTAGTTTGTGCCACAATTGGTTTCTGGTAAGACTAAAGGTTTGCTGCTCTTACATTTCCCAATCAATTTGTCAAGCCTTCTTTTTAGACAAGGCATGGCCCTTGTAGAAAATGTTCAGTCCCACGGTGTTGAGTTTGTCCAAGCGGGCCGCAGTGAGAGAGAGAAAGTCCAGGAATAAGGCAAAACAGCTTTAATTCCAAGGCAGAGTTATTGTCCGAAGAAAAAAGAGCGATATGCGGCGGCACGACATTCTTTTTATAGGATTCGCCGCTGCTAGAAAATAAACCAGACAGACAAAAAAGTAGTTTAAAAGATGACGCTTCCGCTCTCTGCGACCTTGGTTGTCACACATGCGTGACAACGCAACAACAGCTTTCTTTAACCTTAAAGGGCCACTAAAAGGGTTTCTGTGATCTTCTATTTAGGATCACTATACAGTCTACGGGCTCTAAGCAAGAAACCTAAGATTAATTGGATATGCATTTGATTTCCCCTTTGAAGACGAGATCAAAGATTGTGACGAGCCTGTTTTTTGGCGATTTGGTGCAGAGACTGGAGTGCACCGTCAGACATGCGACAGCCAATGGTGGGTGATCGCTTCCAACGCCTTTAGTGGGCCTACCAACAGCGGACTGATTTTCGAATGCGTGTGATTCGCGTGTGGGAAATTATTGCTCGTAATTGGCTATTGCATGTCCAATGGCGTCCCCTGTTTCTTGAGCTGAATCGCAGAAAAATGGGCGTGCCGCGATCTTGGATCCCGTTTTTAATAGGGAAATCGGACGCTTATCAGTCTTGGGGCTCATAGATTGAGTTAAGATCATAAATAGGCGGTCTCAGAAACCACTTTAGTGCTTCTTTAACACGGCAGATTTACTCGGTCGAAGTGACACTTTTTACAAGGAAGGCTCATGTAACTTCTTCGTTGCAAAGCACGTTGAGCACCAGTCATGGCTATCTATAAAAGGAGCCTAGCCAACAATGCTGTAGAGATTACATTGGCACTGAGTAGGTTCGAATGATGAGTATGACTAGGGTGCCTTCATGTGCGCTTTGCTTGGGGTAATGACATCTGGCCATTTTGTTCCGTACGCTTATTTTTATATTTTGTTCTCAAGCGCGTGAAAGAGCGTGTCCCTGCACGCGCTCGTGGCGCTGACTGTGCTACAGCGACATTTTGTTTCCTGCGTTTTCTTTGTATTTTCCCTGTGGGCGCGTGCTGTCGGCATTGAGTACTACAAACGATGGCATCACTCTAAGCAGAAAGGCATTGAGGCACTCTAAGTATGACATACCACTAGCGCGTGCTATGCATTAGCACAAGCTCGTGACATATCGGGAGCTCCTGCTAGTGCACACCACACATGCAATGTGGTGCAAATTAAGTTTTTAGGTGTAATCGTTAGGTAGTATCTCAGTTTCCTCATGCAGTTTGATCCTTGTGTAGATGGCAGTGGTGGACTTACCGCACAATCTATAGGAAAACAGGTTCATAAAAGGTTGGCCTACAATCGAGTCTGTCCGGAAGTGGCTTTAAAGAGATGCTGAACCGAAACTTGGATTTTGCAAAATATTACCGCAGAAGCATTGAATGGGACGCTGCAAATTCCAAAATATCACTCATACGTCAATATCTCGAACGGATGGTCCTATTTTTGGAAAAGGAAAGGCGCAATCAAGCGAGGACCTTGCAATCCTCCTGGCACAGTTGAGAATGAGGGGGAAGCGGACTCGCTTTTCTCTTCCTCGCTTCGGTTCACCAGCTTGCTCGAGGCGATGAAGTGAAGAGGAGGGGCGTGAGACTTGTGACATCACGCGTCTTGTCAGCCTCGTCAGCCGTGTTCAATCGGGAACTTCTTTTCCAAAAATACGGCCATCCGTTAGAGATATCGCCGTACGAGTGATGTTTTTGGGTTTTGCAGCATCCCGCCTGTCACTCCAGCCTTGTTTTGTGAGCTCCCCATTTCGGTTCAGTATCCTTTAAGGTATCGGGGCACTGTAACATCAACCGAATGTGCTGAACAGACATCTGGATTTTGTCCCTTATGTATGTGCGTACAAGCTGCAGGAGCATACATCTTTCTAGTATCCCACGATTCGACGCTACATATCGTGCCTCATGTTGGTGGAGGAATAGCCATTCGAACACTTCAATTGTTGCACGTGAACAACAAATGTGGTGGCCATACGTGCCAAAAGCGTTTACCGAGCGTTTTCGAGCGCTCGTTAAGTCACTAGTGTACCGTGGGGTCGGCATGCTACGAAGCTGTCCCAGTTTGCGAGTTAAGTAATATATAATTGGGCATTCTGACGAAAGCGAACTCAGGTTTCGGGTTTGTCCGTGTCATGTGTGTCAAGTCACATGAGTCGCGGTGTGAATTAGTGCTGTCTCGTGACAAAACAGTGTCCAACAACCACGTGGGAACACAACGATCGCTGGCTGAACATGGGACGTGAGAAAGAGATGCCCTGCCATTCTTCCCCTGTTAATGACCATAGTACCAAATTCTCTGGACTTTTGCCTGGACCTGGTGCAGGGGCAAATTTTGGCTGAAATAAAAAAGTTTTTCCTTAGATAGTTTACACCCGGTGTATATACCCAACCAAGTGCCTAGTTTGCACAAAAATATTATTGTGCACGGCACACTGTGACAAATGTCCGCTTTATTAGCTCACAAGGAAGCTCATGTTGTATGTAAATCATCGTTAAGATACTCTCCAATTCAAAAAGTTTGTCACTTCTTGTCATAATGAACCATCTAAAAAATCAAATTCTCATATGGCAGTCTGCACAGCATAATGTGTTTACTTTTAAACATGTATGGTCTGTAGACTGTGGTCCAGAAAATATGGTAATGTTGGGTGTCATGTCTGTTTGTAACGTGATGTCACAGGACAGTGCTATGTGCTGTGACACCACGATTTGACACGGTAATGTCACGCGACGAACGTTGCATGATGTTACGCGACACAATTCAACACGTGTCGTCCCATGATACAGTGTAGCTGGCCACTTATAGTGATACCACATATAACAATGTACTGCTTATAACGATCAGTTTCTAGACTGGAAATGATAAGTTTCTAGTCCAGATACAACGATGATCGGTTATAACGATTTAAATTACGGGTTTTCTCATCATCGTTATAAGTGGGTTCCGCTGTAATTCAAAGTGTGTCAGTGAGAAAACGTAATCGAAACCTCTCCGTTTCTTGTGCATCATGATTCTGCATGTGATGTTTTGATCGATTCAAATACGGCTGCCGGTTGTTTATGGTAAACCTACGTTAGCCACCCACGTCTGACGCTTGGATTGTTCTGTCGACAGTTGTGTGGGACAGCATCGTGGAGCTGAGGATCCAGCTGCAGAAGCTGCTGTTGCTGGCCAACCGGTTTCCAAGGCACTCCCGGTACCCGGACTTCAAGTCGGCCGCCCTGCAAGGGGACAAGAAGAACGCCAACCTCCTTAGGCTCGGTGAGGATGCTCTAACTGCCACGCAAGTGTTAAAGGGATGCTGAAATTTCTGTGGAAATATTTAAAGTGTGTAATATCTACGAGGGTCGTCATTTCACTTCCACTTAATTGCCTTAATCCGATTGATGGTCGTCGCCGTACATCTAGGCGATGAATGCGCATTTCAAAGTGCTTGCCTAAACGCGATACCGCGCACACTGCAGAAGATGTTGCTACCGTATTTACTCGAGCAATAGCCACACTATTTATGAACAAAATCCTTGCGTCTACTTTCCCGCAAAGCACATATACAGCCAATCATCCTGTTTTGCATAAATAACATAGTGAATAACTAGATTGAGAGCACAATCCTCCGTATAAATGCAATGTTCGCAGGTGCTATCTTCGCGACGTCATCTCTGTCCTGTACACCGCAGGAATCATGCTGTCGATCGTGGTGATTGGCAATCCGTGTGCTCCGCGGAAAAGCGAACCCTCAGGTTTTCTTCATAAACAGTGCGGCTATTACTCGACTAAATACGGTATTTGTTTTATAGTCCTTATATCGGCACGGTGTTTCGCTTTTCTGGGGCCATTTATACTTTTGAAATTATACGCTCAGCATACTGGGTGCACACAAAATGGCCGCTTCGCATGTCAGCTGCTCTGGTGGTAGTGGAAATTGGACCGCTGGCTGTCCAGATTTCGACTTTTACCGCTTCTTCGAATTGTACTTGAAGGATGAGAGCTTACCATATTATGGAAAAGCTCTATAAAGTACCTCCTATTTAGCATCTGAAACCTGCGCTATGTCGCGGAAGCTGATGCGCCAAAATGAAACCAAATGGAAGGAAGGTGGTAACCCTGCCTTCTATATTTCCCTTTGATGCTCCTAAACCTGAACAGGTTGCAAGTGAATTACGGGCTCCCGCTGATAATTAAGAAAAAAACGTCCGCATTGACCCTTTCTTTATAACATTTCTTTGGAAACAAAACCCAACCACTCTGAAACATTTTTTGTGGAAAAAAAAAACTCGACCGTCAAAGGGTTTAGGACCCTCCTCAGGGGGCGTTACACAAGGCGTAGGGTTACAGAACAATCGAACGTGGATGTGTTGAGTCTTCAGGGTGGAATGTGAAGGGTTACATTTTCCAAAAAAAAAAGGTAGGTGCGTGGACGATGGCAGCGATCCTGTGGGAAAGGCCGTTCTAGTCCGGAGCTGCATGAGGAAAGAACGGGGACCTCAGAGTAATGGTGAGAGTAGTGTGTGGGTGTGCAACATTTAGTGGATGACCGGTGTGCTGAGAGATATGTGCGGGGGGAAATATAAAGGGGGAGCTACTGAGAGGAGGAAGAGAGTAAAAAACTTGCGAAACAAGCAGAGGGTGGTGATGCGGCAACGGCAAGAAAGAATCACTAACTTGGATTTAGCCTTCCGGGACAATATTCTAATATATGAATGCGAAGAATTAACAAATTTGGTAGCGCGATTTTAGGCTGCTTTGAGTGGATTGATGAGATGCACTCGACGAGCGTTCTATATTGCAGATGTGGATCCAAGTTTTGACTTTATTAAAGGTAAACTGAAGTGGTTCTGTATTTGAAAAAGAAACACTTAAATTGTCTTCATTTTGCCTCCAGGGTAACGAATATCAAAATTGTATTTCAGATTGATCCACCAAGTAGTCGCAACATCACTTTCAAAATAACGCCGAGGCCCCTCGTTCCCGGCACGTTCAGTGGGTGGAGAGAATCGTGACATTATACGGAGATTTCATAACTTCCGCATGGTCCCTCACAAGCAGCAAGGGCGAGGCATTTGAAACATCTCGGTATCACGTCACACCCGGCGGTTGGTTTTTCGGTCTTTCTTGCGTCTATTTATATGTTTGGATCAAATGCTCGGGATATCCAAACTCGCAGGACAAAAATATGCTTGAATTCGCCTCTAACTCGTTTTATATCACAAACCTCTTCAGCTTCTGCAGGCAAGTAATTTAACAGGGGGGGTGGCATAATATAAATGACATTTTAAGAAAGTTTGTTTGAGGTTGGCCGGGACTTTTATTCCTGTGGAGGAAACAAAAAAAACTAGCAAGCTCAAAACTATGTCAGATTTTAAGGTGATTCTCCCCGCACGCCTAGAAACCGGAGACGTTGCTTTGGTAGCTTCCTAATTCCCATGGCGTAGAAAGAACTGGGCACGGCTACACTCAATTGAACGTGTCTGTGCAGTTCATTTCTCACGTGCGGTCGTCCTCCACCAAACAGTTTACGCCATCTGTACACTCAGGAGGTCTGAAGTTGCAGATGATGTGATTGATTTTCATGGCTGTTTCATTGTCCAGATCTATTTTGTTCACCTAATATTGGCCATTTAACCAAAAATTAAATGTTTTTTCCTAAAATAGCTGTTATGTGTACTGGATTTATTTAAAAATAAGTCACCCTTTTTTTTTTCCGAAATACTGTCGAAAATGAGGTGTAGACCTATAATTGTGACTAGAAAATTTTGACCTACATTCACAACCAAATTTTGGTACTCTATTGAGTGCATAAAGCTATCGAGTCACCGAGCCGGCTTCGCCGTAGCGCCGCACTGCTTCTTGTTTCAGAAAGCTTTTGGTGCACGAAAACAACCGAAACAGCCGAAACAGCGGCAGCCCGCAGTGGCCTCCACTCACATGCATCCCTCGGGTGTTGGGTTTTCCGCCTCATGCCCCTCGCGACACATGCCCCTCGCTCACTCATACCCCTTGCAACGCAAGGGGGGAAGGGGAGGGAGGAAGACGTGACATGCCACGCACCTTGCCAACACCGCCAAGAACACAAGTCCGTAGTGCTCCTTCAGTGACATCACGGCGTTGGCCGACAGGTGCCGCGGCACTGTATGCAAGTGAGCGAATCGCGCATGTATTTGCCGTCGTCTGAACGAGTTTTAGTGGACAGAAACGCACCTAGTGAGATTAAAGTCAGTCTATAGACAACATCCGGGCTTGGAAACATATTTTATTGTGCAGAAGGCAATTGATCGCCTCGTGGTACAGTGAGAAAGATTACTTGTAGTGTGAATGAACCATCGTATGAACGACATGCTTCTCGAATCTCGAAACATAAAGTATTTCGCGAAGCCACACACTCTTGTCTGACTACATTTCTTGTTCCTTTGCGTTCTACCAGAGCAAACAATGACCTGAAACATGAGGAAGTCTCCACCTTGCATGTCTTGAGTTGGCAAGGTTCTCACGCAGTATCGCTCGTATCCAAGCATCAAGAAAATAATTCTCGTTCGGGAATCTAAACACTCACCCTTAGGCCTCCGGTTTAACTACCTCCGCACTGAGGGACGCAGCATTTCAACGGCATCGGTATGTCGTTGAAGACGACAAAGGCAAACAAGCCCACAGACTTGACACGACGACAAAAGAAAAAGAAAAGTTCATTGCTGCTTCTTATTGGGCGTTGAGCGCCAACGCATGCGCAGTCGGCATTGCTACGGTGCTCGGGTGCCGAGAAGTCATGTCATGACATGACCGCGTAACTCACTGGCGGAGAGGGGTAGTGCGTTGCGTTGAAGCCGACGTCTCAAGCAATTTGAGCCTTCAGCTTTCAGCTCCGACGTAGTTTGACGTCATCTCTCCGGGCACTCCGGCGTTATATTCTAGGAGGTGTTGACCTTGCCCCACTGCCTTGTCCCCTCCCCTCCCTTCCTCCTTCCTACCCCTTGCGGATGCGCAGAAAAACAAAATACGGAGGTTACTTTCGCTTCTTGTTGCTCACGACGGCTCGCGGCAGCTTTGCGGTGTTGCTCGCGTCCTTGTATTTGATCTTTCGTCGCTTTGCCTGTCTCCACCTTCTTTTGTTTCTTATTGTTGCCATTATGCAGCGGTGTCAGTGAGGTATCGTGAATTTCTGGGGATGTTGACAAAGCTGACGAAGCTTCCGACGATGATGACGTGTCCAGAAGTTCTGACCATGATTAAGTTTTTGGCATTGCTCTGTGATTTAGCCGAGAGTGCTGTAAATAAAGGTTTGGTTCTTTCTTTTGCCCAAACTTTCTTCTGCTCCCTAAAAAAAAAAGAAAAAGTAGACTTATATTTGAATTACTCTTTTTTTCTCGGCAAGTTTAATATAAAGGCATCGACCTATATTCCTGGTTGACTTATATTCAAGTAAATACGGTAGCCTTGTTTGCCATAAAAAATGTTCTTGGGTCCTTAGGGAGAAGGTGGGGGGCGATCGCCACTCCCCCTTAAATCCGCCCCTGACTCTTGTCCGTGGTGTCATTCATCCCCCCATACTGTGCTTACAATCTTTTCAAAATTTAAATTTTAGCTGATTTAACTTTTTTATTTACTAGAAATTTAATTACTCACCACCGCTCCACAGGCGCAGACATATTGCTCGCCGCCATGATAGCTGGAACTGGTGTGCATCTCTCAAATACATCATTCCAAGCACGAGTTACCCAAGAAGGATTATGTTGACGGCCTCCATAAGTTTCATCGTGCTACACTTGTGTTGCGATATTTTCTGGACAGAAATCACGGCCAACCTCGCACGACCCTTGTATAAGGCCATCGCTTAGCGCTCTTCCAGGCCTGGGACTAGCCTCGGTAGAGCGTGCAGTCACTCCGCGCCGGATGCTGTCTCATAGTACGTGGAGCGGCATTCCTTTGAGGCGACTACTCTTTGAGCGGGGACTTTCCTTGGCTTGCACTCGGCGGCAGCAGAGCAGATCGCACATATTATGAACGCTTGCAGACTCGGCGTTGGTATTTGTTGCACCCGCCGTTGTTGGGCGTGGCTGAATGAAGAGAAACAACCAGGAGACACAACTGGAAACGGAGAGTGCTGGGTGGCACTTCAAGCACCAGTTCATGGACAATCCGTCCAGTGTAGTGCGTGATGCGTGCGACCGATTGCGGTTTCGGGTGGACATTAGGAAAGGCATTCTGAATGCTACGCATTTACAACGCCTTTGGAATAGGCCAGCACGACATTCAAATTTTTTAATGATGATTCGAAAGTTAATGAAAATGGTTGGATGATTGAATGTCGTGCTATTGCTACATTTGCAGAATTTTATCGAAAGAAGCATGTGCGCAAAGATAATAAGTATATTCAGTTTACTTTGTCAGGAGGCCTCATGCAAGATGTTACCGTCCTTTCCGGACCACAGTCTGCACCTCGTGCAGGGGAAAATTTTTGGTTAAAGACAGGAAGATTTCTTCTAGATATCCCGCACCTGGTGCCTAGTCTGCACGTAAAAAGCTCATACAGTTGGCTCGCGATAAAGCAGACACGGATATTTCATACTTCTGGTTAATTCAAACAAATGAAAAAAGTTTAGTTGTCCCACTATGTTTTTAATGTATTCGTAAGCCGCTCAATTCGTACGGCGGTTTCGTGCAATTCTTTCTTTTTATTCTTACGGCCCCGTTGAGTGCCCATCTTTCCGAGCACCGGTGCACTGCACAGGCCACACCCACGGAGCTGCTGCTTCTCTGCAGTGCACTGATGCTTGGTGAGAAGCGCACTCAACGGGGCTCAAGCAGGCACACATGAGGTATGAAAAGAGAAGCTTGTATCGTACAGAAACATCATTACCTACTTCTGCCATTTACATTCTTCGTCATATCTCGTCATAATGTACGATTGAGAAAAACAAATCCTCATATAGTTCACAACTGCAGACGTCCTCACCGTGTAAAATTTCAACTTTCAAGCATGTTTAGTTTGGAAATTATGGTACAATTGTTGCGTATTTTGTATAACTGCCACGTCTTTCTTACTTTTTCACCTCGTGAGTTTGGCCGCGTCTCTATTCCAAATTCTACTGGAGCGTGGCATTTGCAGAAAAATGCCCGAGGGAATATCTCTCTCACTTTCTTTGGAGTGGAGCGTGTACCACAACATTGCGAAATGCTTTCTCTCCGGCAGCGACAAAAAGTGTCGAAGACCTGCTGCAACAGCTGCTGGGTCTTCAGCAGGACCTGAAGGGCGCGCACCCGGAGGTGGCTAGCGTGTTCGGACTTGCACACGAGAAGCAGGAGGACGCAATGTCCGAGTGAGTGTGTCTCCTCGAATATTTTTTTCTTTCGAATTCGAGAACATACTTGCCTGAACCACTTGCCCAAGAGGGTCCTTGTACAGAATGTTTCAGCAAAGGCCTTCAAACTTCCTACCAATTCGCGACTCCAGCGACCTATAGGGGGCGCCACCACCAAACAAACATGGCGGCTGGGTCCAGGTCGCGTCGGCTTGGCCGGGCCGCCTGAATGGGTGGCGCATTCAATTTAACAGATTTTTTTTTGTTTAATGCCCAATTTTATGGGTATTTAAACTGAGACGGTTAAGTGTAGCCTGTGCGCATAAACTTGCCGAGCATAGTTTTGTTTTCCCAGTGTTTTTTGTTCTTTTCATGTCAAACTTTCGTTTCGGAGACTTCATTCAAAACCGAAACTATGGGCTCCGGAGAAACGGTAATAGACTCTAATTAGTTCTGATCATCTAAGGAAAGCGGCGAGGGCTACAAAATTGTTCCACCGAGAGTAATTTTTAGCCAACTCGCATGCCTCGACCATGCAACTTATCTGTCCGCGAAATTGAGATTTTGTGTGTGTCCGCGTTTCAAGAAACAGCTCCAGTCGCGTGCTCGGTCAAGAACACAGGCTGCAGGAAAATTACGAAAATTAAGTAAGCACTTCTTGAGCCAAGGAGGATTTAACCCGCTGGCGCTTCACGAAGCAGCTGATACTCGTATTTAAATTCAGGTTTTAGTAGCAATCGAGAAGTCATTTTGACGAATATGCGGATTATGTATTACATACTATATCCCACTAAAGCGATATTGCCGCGCGCAAGGCTGAGAAAGCAACGCTCGGTCACGGTCCTCCAGAAAGTTCCCGTTTATTCATGTACCGCACGTAACTTCTATCATTTATCCCTGCTTTTGTTTTCTAGAAAGTGCGTGTTCATTCTCGCCCCGATCACGCGACGCTCGAACCGCTTTCGCCGAATCTTCGAGGTAGCGGCGCACTCTAGATAAGAGGCCGCCCGCGACCTTGTCGAGTCAGTTTCGCCCCAGCGTTCGACTCTGCTGACACGCCGACTTCGACGCCCGCGACACTCTGCTTTCTTCTGTTTCCTTCTTTATTTTTGGCACAAGTTCGCCACATTAAACGTTTATTTATTTCTGTTTATTTCTTGTTTATTCGTCACCACCCGTGACATTCTGGTGGAGGTGCGGGGTAATCACATGTCCGTACGGCGCAGCCCTCCAAGTTCCCGCAGTACAAGTCCAAACCCCAGCTCCGGAGGACCCGACTAAGACCAGATCGAGACCCGGTCAAGTCGCCGCATCCGAGGTCTACCCCCGGAACACGGACTTCTGCCACCCACGACCAAGCCGAAGGCGACGATGGCCAACCAGGCGCAGACCCCGGCCGCTTCTGCCGTTGTGTACCTGCCGATCGCACCCAGGACTCCAACGCCTTTCCACGGAGACGTCCACGAGGACGTTGAAGACTGGCTGCAACACTACGAACGTGTAGCCCGCCACAACGGATGGACAACTGAACAATGCCTCCACAATCTCTACTTCGCGCTTGAAGGAACTGCGAGGCATTGGTTTGAAAACCACGAAGCGTCCTTCACTACGTGGGAGTCCTGCGCCGCGGAGTTGAAGCGAACGTTCCTCAACCACCACCGTCGGCAGCGAGCGGAGCACCTTCTACAAACAAGGGTGCAGGGCCCCAACGAAAGCGTGACCAGCTTCGTAGAGGATGTCATGCGCCTATGTGCCCGAGCCGATCCGGAGGCAGCCGATGAGAAGAAGCTTCGCGTCCTCATGCGTGGCGTGAAGGCTGAAATTTTTGGGGGCCTTGTCCGCCATCCCCCGACAACCGTCGACGGTTTTGTGGCTGAAGCCACTAACATCGAGCGAGCGCTGTCGGCCCGAGCAAGCCATTACCATCGACTCGCCGGCGTGCCTGCTCCTCGAACCGCCGCATCTTGCCGACTAGACCTGAACGCCACCGGTGTCGACGGCCTTCGGGAAATCGTCCGCGACATCGTCCGGGAGGAGCTCCGCAAGCTGCTGCCTGCTGCCAACCAGCCGGCTGAGCTGTCGATCGCCGAAGTGGTGCGCGAAGAAGTCCAGCGAGCAGTTCAACCGGAGGCTCTTGCCTGCGTAGCACCACCCGAAGAGCCCGCCCTGACCTACGCCGCAGTGGCCCGACGGCCACCGCCTCCTCGCCGTACCTATGTCACGCCGCCCCGACGTCAGTCTCCTGCGCCGCAGCACGACCGACGCCACGACGACCAGGTCCAGTACGCCTGCCCGGAGCCTCGCGCACCCCGCAAGACCGACGTGTGGCGAACGCCCGACCGACGCCCTCTGTGCTTCCATTGCGGGGAAGCGGACCACACCTACCGCCGATGCCCATACCGACGACTCGGGCTACGCGGGTTCCACCCGAACGACCCGCGCCCCCGTCATGGTGAACGCCCTATCGAGATCGACGAGTACCTGCGACGACCTCAGTCCCCCGAGCCTGCGTCCCGCCGAGAGTTCCGGTCGCCGTCACCGCGACGTCCAGCTTCGCCGATGCACCGACCGCGACGTGAAAGCCTGTCCCCCCTCGCTCCTCGCCGGGGAAACTAGGCGCGGCAACCCCTGGAGGTGGAGTTGCCGAAGACGACCGACGCCAAGATCCTCCACGAACGTCGGGGGGCCCCCACTCGAACGCTACCAGAGACCAAAACGACGCCGCTGCAGTGGTGTCCAATAACCTAAACGTCGTCATCGACGGCCACGACGCATCTGCACTCGTGGACACCGGAGCAGACTACTCAGTCTTGAGTGGGAGGCTCTCTCGCCGCCTTCGAAAAGTCATGACGCCGTGGGATGGACCATAAATAAGAACCGCCGGAGGACACCTGATTACACCAGTCGGGAGATGCACCGCTCGCGTCGAGATTCACGGCGAAAGATGCCCTGTGAAGTTCGTCGTTTTGCAAGACTGTTTGAGGGACGTCATTCTCGGAATGGACTTCCTGTGTGAATACGGCGCCATCATCGACCTTGCGGAGAACAAGCTGACGCTTCGGAAGCGTGCCCCATCGGTGGAAAATACCAAACCGACGTTAGCTGCAGTGCGAGTCCTCGCCAGCCACGTAAACCTGCCGCCGCTGTCGAGTGTCTTTGTGCCCGTCGGGACCGAAGGAGCCACCTGCGGTGTAGCACTGCTGGAAGGAAGCGTCCAACTTCTCCTCGGACGAGGGATTGGCATTGCAAGAGGCGTAACCGAGCTCCAGGACGGGCGCACAGTAGCCCTTGTCACCAATTTCCGGCAAGAGTCGCAGCACCTTACAAGGGGTACAACTGTGGGCTACGTCGAGGAAATTGAAGACTCAGTCGCGATCGCCGTGATCTCAGAAGACGCCTCTCCGACGCAGAACAAGACAATCACGTCCTCAGAGCTCGACATCGACCCATCCCTCCCAGCCCCACAACGACGACAACTTCGTGACCTTCTCGCCGAGTTCAGTGAGTGCTTCTCCACGTCGTCGAAAGTGCGCCAAACGACGGTTGCGAAACATCGGATAATTACTGATGACGACGCACTCCCTGTGCATCGGCCGCCGTACAGGGTCTCCGTGAAAGAAAGGGAAGCCATCCAGCAGCAGGTACAATAAATGCTTGACGACGACATTATCCAGCCCTCAAGGAGTCCGTGGGCTTCACCGATAGTCCTGGTGAAAAAGAAAGACGGGACTCTTCGGTTCTGCGTGGACTATCGCCGACTGAACGCCGTAACAAAAAAGGACGTCTACCCACTGCCACGCATAGACGACACCCTGGACAGACTACGCCACGCCCGATACTTTTCGTCGATGGACTTGAAGAGCGGGTACTGGCAGATTGAGGTCGACGAACGAGATCGTGAGAAGACGGCCTTCGTCACGCCGGACGGACTGTATGAGTTTAAAGTAATGCCGTTCGGGCTGTGCACAGCGCCGGCAACCTTCCAGCGCGTTATGGACACCGTCCTTGCCGGCTTGAAATGGCAAAGCTGTCTTGTCTACCTCGACGATGTTGTGGTCTTCGCAAGCGAATTCGACGAGCACCTGAGACGACTGCGAGCCGTGCTACAGGCCTTCAAAGCTGCTGGGCTGACCCTCAAGCCTTCCAAGTGTCGGTTCGCCTATGGTGAGCTCAAATTCTTGGGCCACGTCGTGAGTGCTCAGGGTGTAAGCCCTGATCCCGTCAAGACGTCCGCTGTCGCCGAGTTCCCGAAGCCATCAGACAAGAAGACCGTTAGAAGATTCCTTGGGCTGTGCGCCTATTACAGACGTTTCGTTCGTGACTTTGCGCAAATTTCTGCACCGCTGACGCATCTGACGAAAGACGACGTGCAGTTCCAGTGGGGAGAGGAGCAAGAGCAAGCGTTCGACGAACTCAAGCGAAGGCTCCAGTCGCCCCCTATCCTCGGACATTTTGACCAGTCGGCGGAGACTGAAATCCACACGGACGCCAGCAATACCGGTCTCGGTGCGGTACTCGTTCAGCGACAAGAAGGGGCAGAGAGAGTAATCGCTTACGCAAGCCGGGCGCTGTCTAAGGCAGAACAAAATTATTCAACGACCGACAAAGAATGTCTTGCTGTCGTCTGGGCGATAACCAAGTTCCTCCCGTACTTGTACGGGATCCCGTTTCGCGTGGTCACAGACCACCACGCCCTCTGCTGGCTCGCAAACCTCAAGGACCCGTCCGGACGCCTCGCCCGCTGGAGCCTTCGACTGCAGGAATTCGACGTAACCATTGTGCATAAGACCGGCCGCAAGCATAATGACGCTGACTGTTTGTCTAGGGCTCCAGTCGAACCTCCAAACTCCGGCGCGGACGACGATGACGACGCCCGTTTTCTAGGCGCAGTTGACGCTACCGACATGAGGGCACTGCAACGCGACGACGCGGAACTTAGCTCCGTGATCGACAGCCTCGAAGGTCGAGGAGGCTCTGTCCCACGGGTCTTTTCTCGGGACCTACCGAGCTTTGTCCTG